TCGCGAGACTATCATCTGTCTCCTTCCACCCTATCTTCGCCGCCGCCTCATCATTTCTTTCCTCCTTCTCACCATCACCATTCCCTGCCACCATTTCTATCTTCCATCAGCACGATACGACGTTTTCATCATTAGCACTACATCTTAACGCATACGCCGTTGTCTCCGCCAACCCTGCCAACTTCACGCATTCACCACCATCAGCCCCGAACGCCACCTCCGTCCGTTTCACCCATCCTGTTGTCTCTTCGTTCCGTCCACCCTGCATGACTCAGTCACGGTTTCCTTCCTTTATTGTTGCCGTCAGTTAAGCCTAAGTCCCAGTTCGTTGAACGTGAATCGTTGAACGGAGTTATAGCTATTACTCATCGAGGAAGACAGTCAGCTATCTGCCAAGTAACATTCAGCTTCTGTCCTCAAATTATCATTGAATCGTCGTCTGCTTCAGCATCAGGGTTATTTCTAAACTCTCTATCTTTCTATTTATGAGCTATTTTTTCTAGTATATTTTCTTGCAATACTGTCGTGGAGTGACCCTAGAAAGGTTCCCTGAATAGATAATTGGTGGATAGAGTAAGAGAGAGAACGCACTTGACTCGCATTATTAAATTTATTGACTGTAGTAGCACCCACCCTAATCTCTAGCAATTCTTTAATTGCGCCGATTCAATCCTTTTCAACTATTGCAGGATCACTCGGATCTAACTTAATTAAGTCTGCTGTGAGAGTCATGCATATTTACTTAATATAAGTTAAAATAATCTATCATCATTTTGTCCCGCATCACTGAACCTTGTAACAACGCAAAGCTCTTGTTATGACTGTGGAAAGCGAGCGAGATAACAGAAAGGATGTAACCACGTTTTGATAGAACGAGACGAAAGAAAGTGTTGTGCCAGACGTCTTCTGCTGAACGCGATCCTTTTCGTAACGTTGTCGTAAGTCACCTCAAACGTCTTCTGCTGAACGTTGCCGATGATGCCGATCTGAGTGGAGTCCGAGTTTCCAGCGAACGCCAAGCAGACCTGTGCTGCGCTGATGACGTAGAATACCCCTGTCGCCGGAAGAGTGACCTCGAGAACGGTGGACCGGAGCTTGATCACCGCATATGTCACGGTCGCCACGTTACGGAGGTCATAACAAGTGTCCAGTATACTTGCCGCTCCAGCCAGTGGACACTGCGTCATGGCTGCGCGGAAGGCCGTCCGAAGTGCACCGTACTACGTCCGAGGGACGTGGGAGCGGTGCAGGTGATATTACGATAGGTGGACGAGCGAGTGGGATCAAACAACGGCTCCTGCTGCAGGTAGCAGGTTACAGCGCACGGCTTGCACTGGATCCAGTTCACGTTGCTGTCGGTACCAAAGATGATTTTGTGGGTTCTCATTGGAGTGCCGAAGCCAACAGTGATAAGGTGGTTACCGGTGCCGATGTAGAGGCCACTCCTTGGAGGGATGGAGAACTGTGACCCGAGTACTGAATCATTCCCAAAGGGGACACCAGTAACGGATGACTGGATCGAAGCGCCTCTCAGGGAGTCATAGGCGAGAGTACTAATGTGGTTTTGCTTGGTGACGGGCTTTGTTGAGCATGGACCGTTGCGATGAACTATCTTGATGGTACCACGACTGGGGGCTTAAATAGATGCAAGGACTTGACTTATACCCAATGTTTTTTCTAAAATATACAGTCGTGAATGTAGATGATGAGCAGAAATAGAAACCGACCGTGAAAAAAGCGTATTCGATAAAAATGATTGAATAACATAGCGACGATTTGGCGAGAGACCGATAGAAGCTGGTTGAGGTAGTCAATCTTTCGAGGATGAGCAACTAGCGGAGGATACTAGGGTCCCAGTACGGACTTCTTCTAAGCTGAGATTGCGTTCTAGGGAGTACCCGTCGAAGGAGAAGAAGAGTAGGCAAAACAGGAGGGAGAAGACGAGAGACGCGCATCCTACCATCGTTGTGCTACAGCTTGGCGTCCACTCTGATTGAGTAAATGTTATTTATGAGCTTTTTTTTCCAGTGAACTGAATGCAAGCAAGAAACGATGTTCCCCGTGCGATCTCCATTAAATCTGGTCTTCTACGGCATTAAAATCACGTTAAATGGATAAGGTCACTTGTTTGCTCCAGTTGCATCCAATGGTTCATAAATTCTTCGATTCTTGTACTCCTCGAGGAATTTGACAGATTTAATGTAGACTGGTAGGCATGGTTAATAATTGGTTCGCTTTCTTCTATTCCTCGAGGAATTTGACAGATTTCGTCTAAGGAGCATTCTTTACGAAATATTATGAAAATGGTACAAATAACCGAAATAGTGAAGGAATCTCTCTTATGAAACAAAAGATGAGAAGAGTAGACATAAAATGAAAGGGAGATATGACAGAAATATTGTATTATCGAAATAAGTTCATTGCGTCCCTTGCGAGAGCACCAGAGAATCAGTAGAATAATTCTTTGAGAAGTAAATACGAAAGTAAAACCCATAAAAGTTCCAGTGTGCGAAAGCTGCTGTTAAGCCTCTTACAAGAAGTGCGTTTTTTCTGTATACGCGATTATTCAAATTGCTTTGTCTAAACATTATTATATCTCAAATTATCTAAAAGTTCATGAAAGATTTATATCTGGAAGCCTTTCTGAGGATCTTCGTCACCTGAGCCGTTGTTTCTGAATTGTATTCACTAAAAAGTAAGTTAGTAAAAAGGAAAAACCTGTAGGTTAGTAACCATTCGCTTTCCCCCTCAGACTCTCTCTCTCTCTCTCTCTCTCTCTCTCCCTCTCCCTTTTCACTTTCTCTCTATGATCCACCCTTCACTGATTTCTTTACGTCGGTGAAGGCTGCTATCTTGCCGACCAGGAACAATGCTCCTCTCTCTTTCAATGTATTTACATTAATATGAATATCTCTCTTCTATCGCTCTTCCTCTCTCCCTTTATCCATACCTGTTTCTCTGGAGGCCTCTCTCCCTGCTTGTCACATTCAGTCTCACTTTCCCTCCCTTTCTTTTTTACTTGTCGGTGGGATCAATAAAAGTTTGTTTAATTCGGAACCTTTCGGATGGGAAGGAGTGTTTGTTGGCATCAACTTGTCCACATGAGGCGACTCTTGGAAAACAGTGGGAGCCGACGTACATTAGTAATTCGAAGGAAAGAACAGTCTATTCCAGCGTGACGCCATCGTACTAACCTGATCCAAATTTGGTACTTGCATGGCTACCACAAACCATTTCTCCGTCCTCACTTCGAAAAGATTAGTATGGGCACCACTGACTTGGTTCGTGTCGTGTTTAGTACCTCCGGGTTGCTTCGTGACATTTCGTTTTCAAGGTATAATTCCTTTCACGTCAACAACTCTCGCACCTTAGCTGTGTTCAGTTAAGATATTATACCGGAGCAAACACGGCGCAAAAAGAATATTCCCGGTCAAAATTTGTTAAACGCGGGCATGTCGTCTCATATTGCGGATAGAGAAAAGAGGATCAAGTCCAGGAGCGGAAAATAAGAGGGGCGATGATGTGGTGGTATTGTACAAATCCGAATTAATAAAGTGCAGAACCTCAACTAGAACTCAAATATTCTTGTAAAACCACTGGGAATGTCAAGAGGGGAATAATCTGGACCTAGAGCCATATCCCCTGCTTGATACTGTCCTTTTATCCTTCTCTCACAATCACAACCATAGGATTTCAATGACTAGACGTCTGTTCCAATTCACTGCTCTAGTCGACAACAGCCCAGAAGTCGGGTTGTGCCAGATCCTGAAAACCTTAGTTATCAAACCAGCCTATTATGCTTATTCGTCACATCGAGTAAAACCTAGATCGGATCATTTTTCAACCGCAAAGTTTTCAAACAGCTCCATGGTGGTGTGCACCTGTGGGTCATTAATTTTTTTGTAAAATCTTGAGATTGCTTGCACATAGCTGCACTAAAAGGATGCCTAGGGCCGTTAAAGAAAAAGGGAGCCTTCTGTTTTTTTATCTTGATAAGCTTGCATTTTTTTTTCTTTATTCTAGTTTTATTTCATAAGCATTGTACGCAAAATAATAATTCATCATATAATGCTAAAGGAGTCTAGGATCATCAAACTGGTTCTGCTTCTGTAATGGTGTATTTCGTATATTCTAGGTATGCACCTCTGGATTTATTTTCTTAAATATTTAACCATCTCATGCAGTTTTTAAAAAAGGATATTCTAGGCCTTTAACTTACGTATTACAGGATCAGTCACTTGTTTGACATTCACCGGCCATGAAGGCGGAGTATTCGATTCTAACCAATTAAGAATCCTTTTTCAGTACGAAAGTTAACCACAGTGAATATTTTGAGTATACTCTGGCTAAGAAACGGAGCACCCCTTGCCTGTTGCTTCCCAAAATATTTACATTTTGCTTGGTTTACGAAATCTAGCCTTAGAAATTTCGTTGCTCAGTTACCTCTTAAGGTAGGCTGATATACTAGATTTTTTTTTTTCTCGCGGATCCTTTTTATCGATGTAGATCGGGTCACGTCTGTGATCCTGAACAAATGTGACCCTTTAACCGAGGTGTGTTTTGCAATTTGTAACTTCAGTTAATTCTTTGTTAGAAGAAGCGCCTCCTTTCCATTGCCAAGGCAACCTAAGTTTTCTATTGTTACTTCGTTCTTGTTATTTGGGAGTCCCAGTGTCATGTGAATCTTTCCCCCACTGGATGCACATATATGAGTATCCTTCCATGTCTCTTTATATCCTTTGTGCGCCCCCCCATAAAGCGCAGGTTAATACGAAGGTATTCAAACAGACTGTCCACCCGTAAGTTGGTCCATATCCTCCCGGTACACAGGTCATAATAATCTTCATAGTTCAAATTCTGAACCGTGTAACAACCCAAAGCTCTTATTATAACTGTAGATAGAAAGCGAGTGAGACAACGGAAAGGATGTACCCACGTTTTGATGGAACGAGACGAAAGAAAGTCTTGTGCCAGACGAGAAGGCGAAACTTCGAAGTAAATTAGCTGCAAGCCCCAGTCGAAAACCCGATCCTTTTCGCAACGTTGTCGTAAGTCACCTCAAACGTCTTCTGCTGAACGTTGCCGATGATCCCGATCTGAGTGGAGTCCGAGTTTCCAGCGAACGCCAGGCAGACCTGTGCGGCGCTGATGACGTAGAATATCCCTGTCGCCGGAAGAGTGACCTCGAGACCGGTGTACCGGAGCTTGATCACAGGATATGTCACGGTCGCCACGTTACGGAGATCATAACAAGTGTCCAGTATACTTGCCGCTCCAGCCAGTGGATACTGCGTCATGGCTGCGCGGAAGGCCGTCCGAAGTGCGCTGTACGCCGTAGGGGGAAGGCGAGTGATGACCGTCCCAGAGTCTATGATTGTCCCTACAGATTGAAAGACGGTCGGCGACAAGGCAAGCTGTGTCGCACCTACGGTAATTCCAATAAGGTCAATGAAGTAGAGGGTAGGCGCGCGTGTATTTGTCAGCATTGGCGTGTAAGCAACGTTAGTTTTCAGCGGATTGCCGATGTTGAGGTAGCCGGTGTAGCTGCTTGTGGAAGGGAGACAGTAAGAGAAGATATTGCCCAGGGTGCTGACCGCCTGCGAATTCAGCGAATAGGGACTACGTCCGAGCCCGATTAACCCGGCGGCTCCCCGGAACAGCCCCCGATTGTTCTGGCCGCACCCAAATATGAAGTTATTGATCACGTTGGTGGACGTCAGCGTGAAAGTATCCGTGGCAAGAAATCCTACAGTGGAGGAGCCATCGCCGTAGGTCACCCCATAGAGGCAGGTGGTGCCGGAGCAACCTCTGCTGCTAAGTCCGAGGCACGCGGGAGCGGCGCAGGTGATGTTACGATAGGTGGACGAGAGGGTGGGATCAAACAACGGCTCCTGCTGCGGGTAGCAGGTTACAGCGCACGGCTTGCACTGTATCCAGTTCACGTTGCTGCCGGTATCAAAGATGACTGTCTGCGTTCTCGTTGGAGTGCCGAAGCCAACTGTGATTACGTAGTTTGCAGTGCCGATATAGAGCCCGATCCTTGCGGGGATGGAGACCTGTGACCCAAGGAGTACTGAATCATTGCCATAGGGGACGCCAGCAACGGATGACTGAATCGAAGCGACTCTCAGGGAGTCATGGGCGAGAGCAGTAAGATGGGTTTGCTTGGTGACGGGCATGGTTGAGCATGGACCGTTGCGGTTCAGTATCTTTAGAGTACCACGATTGGGGGCTGAGACAGATGCAAAGACTAGATTAACAGCCCGAATTTGATTGATAAATAATACATTCAGTATCTAGATTTACAACTAGATTACATTCGTGAATTTTTACATATGAATCAGAAATAGAAATTAACCAATAAAAATAATATTCGATAAAAGTGATTCAATCAGTTAAAAACCATTCAGCGAGAATCCGGTAGAATCTGGTTGAGGGAGTTAACCTTTGGAGGGGGAGCAACGGGTGGAGGGTACCAATTTCCCAATACGGACTTCTCCAAAACTGAGGTTGTCCGCGAGGGCGTACCCGCCCGAAGAGAACAAAAGCAGGAAAAACGCTGGGGCAAAGACAATGAACGAGGGTGATGCCATCGTTGTGCTTTGGCTTGGTGTAGACTCCAAGGGAGAAAATGCTATTTATAAGCTTTTTCCCATTAAACTTCCAGCAAATCAATCTGTGTTTCCCCGTCGGCCCCGCAATAACTCGTGGTCTTCTACGGTCATTAAGGGCACACGTTCAATGGATAGACCAGTTGTTCGGCCTGTGAATCGATAATCTGTTCAGGTCTACCTCAGTCCATAAATGCCTCGATTCCCAATTTTCCGAAGAAAATGACAGGTCTCATGTAAATTGGCGAGCCTGATTCCCATCCATCGCTAAATATTATGAAAAATAGAACAAATAAACGCGGTAGTGGACAAATCTTTGATCTAACAGGAGAGAAGGGAGGGGAAGAGTAGGCAATCACGCGTTAGAGAGGACGGACGGATTTTCTCGCAATACATTCATTAGGTCTGTGTGGAGCACCAGAGAGTCATTAGAAAAATGCCTGATTAAGATATTTACGATACCTGATTAAGCCTCTTATGAGAGGTTTGTTTCTTCTGTGTGCCTGATTATTTAGATAAGTTGGTTTCATCAGTATGATATCTCAAATCATTTAAAACGCATAATGGTTTACATCTGAAAATCTGTGTAGGATCTTCGTCACCAAAGCCGTCGTCTCAAACTTATATCCATTAATAACTGAATCAGTTAAAAAGAGAAGAATTCATAGATTGTGAAACCCTCGCTCTCTCTCTCTCTCTCTCTCTCTCTCTCTCTCTCTCTCTCTCGCTCTCTCTGAACCACCATCCACTCATCCATGAAAGTTGCTATCCTTCGGAGCAGGGACGTTACTCCTCTCTCTTTCTGTATGTTTACATAAATATGAATATCTCTCCTCTGTCGATCCTTCTTTTTTCTGTCTCTCTAGCACTCTCCCCCCCTTCTCTCTTTCTCTCTCTATATGTATCTCTCTCCCTCCCTCCTTCACTGTCGCTTTCAGTCTCTCCCCTGTTCATTTCTCTCTATTTGCTGGCGAGATCAATAAAATCTAGCTTAGTTCGGAAGCTTTTGGATAGGAAGCACTGTTCGGTGGAATCAACGTGTTCCCATTGGGCGTCCCTTGGAAACAGTAGGAGCCATTGTAGGGCGGAGTATTCAAGGTACAGAGCGAGCTCCTCCAGAACGACACCGTCACATTAACATGTTCCCACTTGGGTGGTTTAAGAGCGACAGTGGATGAATTATGGTTTTGGACACTTGGGAGACACTCAATACAATAAAATAATAAGTGAGAGAGGGATAAGATATGATTGGGTACTATCGATGACGAAACAATGACGACACAATAAGGGGAAGAGATGGAAGGATGGTCGACTACAATCCATAGACTTCTGAAACTCCATGAGCAATCTAGAGAGAGAGAGAGACTAGAGAGGAATAACATGGACGCTTCGGAGTGGCCCGACACTCTTCTTCCTTTCCTCCTCTTTTCATGAGCCTCTTCTCTTAATATACCGCTCCGTCTGCAATCTTCATTGGTACACGTTCGAACGTGCGATGAGCAGAGGTAGCTACTGTGGTTCCCCCCCGCATCAGTCAGACCGCGGGAATATTAGACGTGACCTCTAGAGGAGCAGTTCTCATGGGAGGAGGATGTATTCCTAGGGTTCCATCAATACTCCCCTCTGCAGAATTGATAGGCCCTCAAGGACACATAAGTAATAGCCATAATTTGTGAGGGTTGCTAGACATTTTGTCATCGTGTGAAGGGGCTTCGGCAAACTGTAGTGATGTCTGGAACGTCGACAATCTTAGTGCCCAGATTCCTAGATTGTGTTCGATGACTTGCTGACAGAAGAACTTGTGTGTAGATGGCCGGTGTGATCGACGATGTAATGTAGAGTTCCTATCTTCCGCTCGCTGAGCAATCTTCATGGTTGCCTTGAGTCCCATGGGTTCTAGAAGACGTATTTCCGCGTGAATATCTAGTTGAAGTCCTTCGAAAAAGATTTCCTGTAGAATACCTTCGTAGAAATCATCAATGACTCCCGACATTAGTTTCAAGTCGAGATGATATTCCACAATTGACCATGATGTTTGATATTAAAAAGCTGCTCCCGTAAGGTGCCTTCTTTTGATAATCCGAATAGCTCAAGGAGTTAGCAATGGAGATCTCGCCAGTCCTGAAGTGGTTCGTGATTTTCTATCCAGCGAAACCCTATGAAGACGCCATCTTCAAAACTTACTCCTGTCACAGTACGATTTTCTTCTTCTGTTAGTTGGTGTGGAGAAAATATAGCTTCGTGCGATATACCGAACCATAGGGATTACGTCGTGAGAAAAGTGGCATCTCGAGGTGTCTGCCTCCGATGACCTGGTCAAAAGAGCGAGCTGGCCTGCCCTTTGACCGGATTGGTGAAAGTCTACAAGCTTGCCAAGGGTGGAGAGGATTTGTGAACAGGCATGTTGGACCTTGCTCCTTTCTGCCAGCAGATGGTGCAAAATGAGTCGTGAGTAGACTGACGTCATGTTTTAGTTCCAGAAGTAAGCCTTTTGCGCTCTGCGTTTGCTGCTCCAAGGCTTGGAGGCATTCGTCAACTTGACCTTCCATCTTCTAGGCGTTCGGAAATATTGGTTGTGTCATCTAGAGGAGCAGTTCTCATGGGAGGATCGTGTTGCTGGGGTTCCATCATAATCCTCGGGCCTCTGTTATAAAAGATTCTTAATGGCTTCCCTGACTTGCTTCGTCTTGTGTTATGGTACCTCTGGACTACCTCGCGGCAAGCTGTTCTCAAGGCATAATTCCTTTGATCTCAAAGTCTCCCTCTCGTTAGCTGTGTTAAATTATTATACCGGTGCAAATGTGGCACAAATAGGCCATTCTGGGTCCAAATTTTTTAAACGCGAGCATACCGTCTGTTAATAACGACAGAGAAATGTCGGGCAAATAGGTGTAGGAGCAGAAAATTGTAGAGACGATGATGTAGTATTATTTTCAAATCCAATCTGTGAAATGATTGAATCTTATTTTGAGTTAAAAATATTCTATTATAAACATTTGGAACGTAAAGAATGAAAATAACTGAAACAATTTGATCAGTGGGTAATAATTTAATCCTACCACGTGCTTGTCACCCACACAATCGGACCAGTAAAATAATGGAAATAAAACATGATTTAGACAAACAAAACTTAGTTCATAGGTTCTCCTTTTCTGCTGCTCCCTTATTTTCATCTATCACTCAAAGAGGGAGCTCGGTTGCTCGAAGAGAATTTCACGCTGCGTCACGGGCATGCTCCATCCATCCCCATGGTCGGGATTGAGAATGTAGCAGATGGGGCCGAGGGTTGGAGGTGGAATCTCCAGTTTGTGCCGTTTCACTCACCTCTACTTGCCAGGTGATGCGGAAGCTCGAACATTGCCACCGTCAAGCTCACCCTCGCGACCCGCTCCGTTGCTCCATCGGGGTCTCCCCCTCTCCAGCTCCCATGCCCCAGCCTCGTCGGCGTCTTCCCCTCCCATGCCCTAGTATCGTCGGGGTCTTCCCCTCTAGTTCTCTCTCCTCCCCCTTACGCTTACGATCATAACCGCAGATATTGGGCCTGACATAATCAGCTCATTATCATCTCTCACCCTTCTCCACAAATTCAAGTCCAGAAACAAATTTCTGCATTTTTTTCTAATTCTGACATTTCAGTGCTTTCATGTAAATACAAAATATTTCTCAAGGAAATGAACATTGGGCAATCATGTTAGAATATTGGTTAGAACATCAAACAGAAATTTCTCAAGACTAATATGCAGGTTGAAGCTAGAATTCATGAGGCATATTCTAGAATCTATTTACTGTTTTTCATCCGAGTTTGTCACACTTGACATGGATTATTGTGATGTGTGTTATCATTTTCTTTGATTAGCATGCATAAATTAGATATTATCAATGCCCCCCCTCCAAACTACCATTTCAACGTCTCTAAGGAAGAAACTGCAAGAAAGAAAATGGTGTCATACTTTTATCTCTGGCCAGGACTTTTAAATTTAGAATTCAAGTAAATTATGTAATAGCTTGGGTTGAATCATTGGGCTACCTTAGTAGTTGACATTTATTTTCCTGTAAATGTTTTTTTTTTCTCGTCACATGACAATATTCTATATATTTATCTCATAATAGACTATTTTTACAAATCACACTGCGAAAGATTGTGTTCAAGAATACTTATAGCTGAATCCAGTGGTGATGTAAGTAGAGTAGGAAAAGTGGATGACTCTTATCGACGTAGCAAACTGTGTACCACACTTTGGATTCAGGCCACAATCGACGGCTAGGAAAATATGCTTCCGACAGAGATCTGAATTGTTCCAGCTGGACCAGAATGTGAACTTCTCAAGCAGGCTGCCGTCAATGATGTCGGCTTGTCCTGACATTGATGGTAGCTAATTTGATAGCAGGTGTCATTGAGAGATGCCGACTGAGCAACCTTTTTGGATGCATTTAGAATGCAAATAATCCACGACATTTACAGTGCTAAGTTACGGATTAAAAGATGTGTACAACTTTCTAGTCCAAAAATGTATACAGTTTTGTCCCCACCGTCTCTATGGATCGACTACTGAAGGAGTACAAGAGCAGCATTAGATGTGGGAAGAGAAAATTATTAGGCTACCGTTCCAGTGTTGTGCTTCGTGTTGAGGTTCAGAGCGGCCTTGTTTCTCCCTTCGCACACAATGCAACTCTGATGCATTATACACCATGAGAGAGAGAGAAAGAGGGAGAGTGACAAAAACATGGAACACACCAGTTTACGGGGTTTGAAAGAGCCTCCTACTTTCACGGTTACACACAGATCTTCTTCCTTCCAGGAGATTTGTCTCTTACAATACTCATCCGATAACAAACCTTTGCACCCTCTAACACCCCAAGATGATTACGTTCCTTCCTATTGCCGCACGATTAGGGAGAAAACTCTCACTGAAGAATCAGATCAGCATACTTGCAGAGAAGCCCAGCAGGGTTCAATAGGAGATCATGCATTACTCTCATGATAGACCTATTGGTTATCTTTCCATTTCACTTAGGTCTTACTTATATATATTAATTGCTAGATCGACAAGCCCGGATTAAAGTTCTTCATTAACCCGCTACTGGTCTTCCACATTACAGGTGTCCCACTTGACAACGTCCTTTGTTCCCCACAGTTGCCATTGTAGAAAACGAGTATCCGCAGTCCACTGCGAAACATCATATCGGCCCTGTTCTCTTAATATTGAACTTAAGTAATATGGGGGTGCTCCGTTCAACTCAGGGATCCGTATTGATCTGATGGCTCAGTCCCATGGGAGTCTCGAACAGAGGAAAAAAGACAACTCAGGCTTGGATCGTCCAATGGGCCAGGTCATATACGATTTTTTTATTATTTCCATTCTTTTATCAACTCTCAACTGACTACTCATGATTAATACTTACAGATATGTCTTCCTTAAAACTCATTAGAGCGTGAGATCGGTGTTTTATTCCAATGGTTTGGTGGATCACGGATAATTGGCGTTGATATAATCTATAGAAGGTTCATTATTGAATTCACAACGGCAAAAGACTTAGTAGAGCTAAATAGGATGCTGATCATGGCTTCTCATGTTATAGATAATGTTATTCTCTTAGCTGTAGATGATAGAATACCTCAGCCTGGGACAATCCTAAAGCGAAAAACTTTACTGAGGCCTGAGTTTACAAACAAAATTTCAGAAATTCCTTTGAAATTTATGCCATTTAACCATGATCCAGTATGACTGAAATTATATACCGTATGGAGAAATCCGGCAAAGAAATTGGAGATAGATTTTTGCCGAAATATATAAATATTGACGGCCGACAATATAGTGACGAAATCAGCTCATGTAGCCTGCCATTCAAGCCGTTATCCAAACCTCATTGAAACTGATGGCATGATGATAACATCCTAATTGATATATTTTTTATTGCTGAGATAACAAAGGTATCTTAAAAATCTGAATCAATATGAAAGAGACCCTCCACGCATCAACGTCAGGACCCAAACACAGGATCTAAGGCTATTTAGCGAATCGGTTAATAAAATTTTCTACCTTGGTTTACCTGACACAAAAAAACATAACCAACCCAGAAAATTGAGCAAGTATTAAAAATACAATAACCTGTGCAAGAATAGACTGGAGTCTCAGTAGAAGTAAAGTCTAACTTTCACAGACATTCTTTAGCCAAGGAAGAATTCTTACGAGCCATCATGCAATGACCTGTCCAATCAATGTAGACGATCCTTGGTCCAAAGCTGATATCTCTACAGCAATCAAAACCATTCAAGGTTTTTTATAATTTCGTTCTCTCCTACACTTCTTGTTCAGACTTAAATAGGGGAGACAGACATGTCCTCACTTTCATTACAAATAAGCCATATGTGTGATCTTATTCAATTATTTAAGGTGAATTTCAATCTTTCGCAAGAGAGATCTACTTAGCTCCCTCTAAAGCTCGACGACACCACAAGAAGTCAATGAGCTTGTCAATCATCTACTTTGGTTCCCTCACCACCTTGTCCTGCAGAGCTAATGCTTAATCGTCGGCAGAAAACAGAAATTATACTAGATAAACCTTAGTACTACGACTAACTCATAAGAAAAGCTTTATCACCTTATCCTATTCAAGATTGAAAATTGGTTGAACGTAATGAAGTAGACGGAATGCTGGAAATGAGCTTTATCACCTTATGCTCCTGATGTAGCTTGGTGATAAACAAATATTTTCTAGCCACAGTTTTACTCTTATTACAAAGCTGATGAAATGAGTGAGCATGTTGGAGATGTAGTGCCTTCTCGTTCATTGGTACATAGAAAAAAGAATCGGAAATTTTCCGAAGATACAATCCTAATACGACAGAAACATACTATTTCCTGAAATTAGAATAATAGGAGTGTCCATCAGGAACCAACCCTTGCCCGGTTGGGAAATTTAACCCCAGATACAATCTCCGCTCTGAGAGCAAATCCAGGAAGAGTCTAATGGGCTTTCATCAGCATTGTATGCCAGGATTGAAAAATAAATGAATGAAAACTGAGAAAGTTTGTTCGAAGGAAACAGATATTACTGGTGGCTATTTTTGGATAGCGATATGGCATTTAATTGCTAGTTCATCGATTTGATTGGTTACTGTTCTTAAATTATCCTTCCGCTTTGACGTGGACCGAATGTGCCATGTGATGTTGACCAAGTTGAGTACGACTAAAGGCTAATCTCAGTCCATACTTGGTCATACTGAACGATAATTGATGGAACAGTCAATAACATTTTGTGAGTCAAAACAAACTACGCAATAGGTCATGGTATTTTCTTCAAAAAAAAATCACCAAAGCATGCGCTCCTTATTTCTTCCATTGTCCCATACCAATAGTAGCTGCTACCCAATTCTTCCATCGTCCCATACCAATAGTCGCTGCTACCCATTTCTTCCCTGAACCATACGCCAGCAGATATAAGAGCTACATTAATACCTCCCACGCCAGTCCACCATCCCAACATTTACCTTTTTCCAGCCCTGCAGCATACTTCTTCGGGACAAGCACGTTGACTCGCAAAACGCCGTCACGACACGCAGAAAGAAATTATATAAAATTAGTAGTGGATTAAAATAAGCTAAAGTACATCAAAGAAATTGCAGTCGAGTTCATTCCCGACTTGAACACGCTCAAATTTCCTCTGAGTCAACTAGCTGCACGCCCCAGCGGAAAACCCGATCTTATTTGCAATGTTGTCGTGCGTCACCTCAAACGTCCTTTGCTGAGCGTTGCCGATGATGCCGATCTGCGTGAAGTCCGAGTTCCCAGCGAACGCCAGGCAGACCTGTTCAGAGCTGATGATGTAGAACACCCCTGTAGCCGGGAGAGTCACCTCGAGACCGGTGTACAGTAGCTTGATTATCGGATATGTCACGGTCGCCACGTTACGTAAGTCATAGCAAGTGTCCAGTATACTTGCCGCCGGAGCCAGTGGGTACTGCGTCATGGCGGCCCGGAAGGCCGTCCGAAGTGCGCTGTACGCCAGAGGGGGCAGGCGGGTGATCACCGTCCCAGAGTCTATGATTGTCCCGACAGATTGAAAGACGGCCGGCAACAATGGAAGCCGTATCCCCCCCACGGTAATCCCAATGAGGTCAATGAAGTAGAGTGTAGGCGCGCGTGAATCTGTTAGAATCGGCGTGTACCCGACGGTAGTTGTTAACGGATTGCCGATGTTGAGGTAGCCGGTGGAGCTGCTTGTCGAAGGGAGACAGTAGGAAAAGATATTGCCCAGGCTGCTGGCCACCTGTGAATTCAGCGAGTAGGGGCTGCGTCCGAGCCCGATCAGCCCGGCGGCCCCCTCAAACAGCCCCAGGTTTTTTTGGCCGCACCCAAATATGAAGTTGTTAAACACGTTGGTGGACGTAAGCGTGAAAGTATCCGTGGCAAGAAATCCAACGGTGGAGGATCCGTCACCGTAGGTCACACCATAGAGGCAGGTGGCGCCCGAGCAACCTCTTCTGCTAAGTCCGAGGCACTCGGAATCTGAGCAGGTGACATTACGATAGGTAGACGAGAGGGCGGGATCAAACAACTGCTCCTGCTGCGCGTAGCAGCTTATATTGCACGGCTTGCACTGGATCCAGTTCACGTTGCTGCCGGTATCGAAGGTGACTGTCTGAATCCTCGTTGGGCTGCCAAAACCGACGGTAATGACGTAATTGCCGGTGCCGAGGTACAGGCCACTCTTTGCCGGGATGGAGATCTGGCTTTCCAGGAGTGTATCGTTCCCACGGGAGACGCCGGAAACTATTTCCTGCAGTGAGGCGACTCGCAGAGAATCTTGGGTGAGAGCTTGAAGGTGGGTGGGTTTTTTAGCCGACTTGGCTGCGCAAGGACCATGGCGATGGACTATCTGATTAGTGGAATGGCTGCGGACTGCAACAGAATGGAAGATCAGACTAATACTCATATATTTAACAATTTTATTCAAATGTATTTATTATATACGATTTTCTTATTTACATTCCGATATAAGAGGGCAACTTGGGCCAGAGAAATCATCATTCAACCAAGGAAATTCGAGAATTAGGATAAAGTTCTGAGTCTCACAGAAGCTGGTTGAGGGAGTAAACCTTTGATCTGAGAGCAATTAGGGGAAGGTACCATGCTCGCAACTCGAACAGCTGATAAACTGCTGCCGTACCCAATGACCAGACCGCCGTAGGAGAACAAAACCAGGCACAACAGGGCTGAGGACACCGAGGACGCACGCGCTGCCATTATTCGGGTGCGGTTTGATGCCTACTCCGGTGGAAGAGGACTCTCTTTATGGGCTTTTTCCCGGTTGACAACTTGCAAGAGTGAAAGTGACGTGCCGGCCTGAATCGTGACACAAATCTGGCGTTTCCTTGCTAGCAATGGCATGGAAGAGAGAAAAGGTCGCTTTTGCCATCGTTCCTCCCATGTTAGGCGCCTAGTAGTTTGACACGTTGTTGACGTCTCTTTCAATAAATAATTATTTGGATTTTAATGGTCCCCAACGCATTTGAGAAGTATTATGAACGTCGTAGCAGCTCCAGATGCTTTGTGCCTGCAGGGCAAAATCTGTGCGAGAGTTACGACTATCAGAGCATGGTGATTCAGAGGTGTAACTTCTCTTCCAAAGCAAATATCCGCGACTTGAAAGCGCAGTGAAGGAGAAATATGGAGACTATAATAAGAATCAAGTACACAACGATCAAGAGGGGAATAAAGTTTACATCGCTTAGGAGAAACTTTCCACGTTAATAAACATATAGAAGATAACCTAAAAAGGGTCTTTTATCTCGTGGTTGAGGAAACTTTACTCTTATGTGAAAGAAAGTACAAACATTCAGACAATCCAAACAAATGATCTCGTATCTCCTCTCATAGAAGAATAAGCTTCTCAAAACATGATTTCGTCATCTAGATCGTGCATTCTTAATAGATCCTGCGACACGGAACAGACTGCACCCCCGGCCTGAATGTCCAACACATGGAAAATAAGAATTAAACAAGCCTACCATCCCTGTGTAAGATGCTACGGCCAGAAGAATGGTTAAGAGAGATCGAGAGACAGAAGGGGAGTCCCACATACAGTTACCGTCTCACCTGCCCAAGTGGTAGAGACAAACATCAGTTAACTTCGCTCTCCAACCCCAAACTCCTTAAGATGATGTCGCTGCTTATCTTGCATCGTTGAGTTAATTGTGTTGGCTTAATTATTGCTTTCTCGATAGTCAGATAGAGAGCATAACAGTTTTTAAACACGAAAGCCACTAAGCCTCTTTGTTTCCAAGGCCATTGAATCGGGTTTCCGCCCATCCGATTAAAACTTAGAATGATTGTTCGTTTTATATAAATATTTATGATAAGAGATATTTATGTTTTATCCTCTCCCTCTTACTCGAGTTTCTTCCTCTGTGGACGACAAATCGAAACCAGTTCACCTTTCGATTATTCTAATGGGGAAGACCGATCAGCAGCATCAAGCAATTCCTACTGGCATTGCTAGCCATTGTTTGGGAAAAAGTAGCTATAATTGGTCAGAGAAGATGGCAGACATACAAGGCTCACTTAGGAGCTACGCCGAGTCGTCACCTAGTTTCCAGTTGGAAACGTGCAAGGACCCAAAAAACTGGCCCTGCACGAATCCTTCGTGGCCAGGGCATGTTCAACAGATAAGAAGGCCATTCCGCAGTTGCTTCCTCTCTTTGTATGCCAACCCTCCGTTTACGCGTGGCATATGTCCCTCTCAAGACATAATTCCCTGGGCATCCAACGTCGCCTTCTCATTAGTTGTGCTTTATTGCAATATTATGTCAAAGTAACCCCATTGTTTGTTGGCCGATCTTGTCAATGCACTATAAAACTATCCACCTAAGTCTCTAGCTAACTTTATAAATACTTTTTCAACGGTAGGTTCAGGCCTGGACCCTTCTGAAGTGGAGACCTAGTTAGCCAAGAACTGATAAATGCACCCATAGTAGGTCTCCAACAATTGGTGAACTGTTGGGTTTTGCGATAATGTGTTTTGATGTTGCAATATTATATTCAAGGAAAAAATAGTTGTTATAGATAACAAAGCACAAGTTTATTGACCAAGATGACATTTCACAAAAGTTGAGGTCAAATATGAAAAGATTGACGACATAAAACTTGGGATCAATTAGTCACTATTTTATATTAGCTCTGTGACAGAATAATTGAAAGTTTGGAAAGATTGATAGTTATCTTGTACTGGGGCTATGGAAATCTCATTTAAAGTTCATGAAAATTAGTGGTTGTTCTGAATTAGCAATATGAAAGTGTCATTGAAAGTTGAGATTTCTAATAGAGTTGTAATATTTAAATTAAAATATTATAATTCACTAGAACAAGAAACCAATTGGATATTTTAATCCATATTCAAGATGCATAAGAATTAGAGTAAGCACAGCTAAGTACCAACATTGTTCAAACCACTGTATAATCTTCAAGTGGGCTTAATCTTATTATGTGGTATCCTCTTTATAAAATATGGGACGTCCAAAATATCTCAAAGTTGTCTCACATCAAGGACTATTTTTTTTAATTTTTATTATACCTTTCCTTTATTTTCTACCATACTTCCATATTTGGAAATTATAATTGGATTCATATTAAACCATATCAAAGGGGTTTTTAAGACCTTAAAAGTGTGTGTGCTCTCTTCTATTACCATGTATGCTATTATTTATAATTTAGTACTAATTATAAAAATTGGTATCTAATATTGGAACACCATGTTATTATTTTTAAGGAGAAGAAAAGAAGGATGGCATTAATAGATGGATTTTGAATTGCCACTTAAGGTCAATATGAAGGTACAAGGTTAGCACTAATATGCCCTTAGATGCTAACAGCCTAAACATGAAGGTACAAGGTTTTACTGACAATTGGGAACAAATCTAGATATATTTCCTACACTCATGATAATTAAGACACTTAATATGTAGAGATAATGATTCATATTATCTATTCACTAGTATTTTAGAGTGCATCTACTAATCCTCCTAATGTACTAAGTAAAAACATAAGAATAGTTTAAATAATGATGTCATTAACCATTCCCAGAAACAAATGAACAATTTGTTTCACTGAGGCACAGTCACTTTCTCAAATGCTTATTAATGAGTGTAGTAATTTTACACTCAAACAAATAGAGTACTATGGAAACCAGCACAATAGCTATTGTCAACTGATTTTTGTCTGAGTCTGCATAGAAATAAGCATATAAGACTTAACAAAGCCTAAGTCAAATGATGTACCGATAAAGCTCAAACAATCAGTGGGCTATAAGCCATAGCTGAATACATCTAAGACCTGTCTCCTTTAAGTGCACATCAGTCAAAGCCTAAGTAACTGATTGCTTATCAATCAGTGGGCTTTAAAAAACTTTGTCAAATCATAAGACTTAAACCAACCCGCAAAGCTGCCCAAATCATATTAAGGAATAATTTTATTTAATAAAAAATTTCACACAAGGAAAAATTCAATATCTTGATGTAGAAAATATGACATAATGAAAAGAGATGGTCCATGGTGTGTAGTTTGGTTTCAACTGGTATGTCTCTAGATGCTTACAGCTTGAATGGGGAGGACAAAAATTTACTAACAATAGGGGACAAATCAAGTTATAACTTCAACTACAGTTCTCACACTCAAAATCAATACATAAGACACAATAAGTAGAAATAAAAATTCATATTATCTATGGACCTAGTTAAAGTGCATCTACTAGTTTCTTAGGTCCCCTAATGTATTAACAAAAAACATAAGAATACATTCACAACCAATGGCTTTAATCATTTGCGAGAACCAAATAAGCACTTTTCTTCCCAACAAAATGTGTATTGCAGAAAACATTTCCACACATCAGCATATGCAGACAATGTTTGACTAGGTCTACCTAAAAATGCAAATATAACTTATTTATCTAGTTAAAGCCTTCATTTTACATGCTCCATCTATTTCTCACAATCCAATCCATGTGTGTTAATGTGCCAGGTCTAGCTCATGTTGTCTTAAACACCAAGCCCAAGCCCAAATGAAGCAAGTGTAAATCTCAAACAAAGTCAAAGTGGGCTATAAGTCATAGCCATATAAATCTCAAACCAATGTCTCATTTAAATGCACATGTATCATAGAGACAAATGGACTAAGTAGATGAATAAAGATTTGACTCAAGTCATCTCAAGTACCTCTAAAACTCTTAACTTTATAAGACTTAAACCTAGCCCAACTCAAGAAAATATTAAAAAATAACAGTTTACAAGTGATGTGACCTAATCATTGTATAATAAATCATAAAAATTTATAAAACTAGAAAATCCTAATTTTTCGATTTTTAGAAATATTTCAGAACAAATAAATCAATTATAATCTAAGAAATGGTTTCAAGACTAGTGAAAAATTTTCAAGTTGATCACAAAAGTGTAACATAGTATCAAGTAATATTTTAGATTTTTTTTTAAATGTATCATTTTTATGATCTTTAAATTAAATGATGAATATAAAATATATTTAAAATTTTACAAAAAATAAAAATAAGGGTGCAGTCATCAAGATGATGTCAACACTTGACAAATGTAAATTGAGCAAAAATAGAGTTCTACTTGACAATTCTTATAGAAGTAATTACATAGAATCTAATTGGTCAAATTAATATCTATAAAAGCTAAAAAATATATAATTGAATGAAGAATAATTATAAAACTTGAAATCACACAAAATATCACTAAATGAAGTTAGAACTAAGTTTAAAAAAAGAAAAACAAAGTTCTGACCTCGTGATAGTGATTATTAAAATTTTGTGTTCACAAAGATTATCATGTAATATTCATGGCCTCAAATCTTCTTACAAAGTCGAAAAATTAATGAGGTGGGTTAATAAATCATCTCCCACAACTATCACCCGACTAAGTAAAA